CTCATTCCAAGGTTGCTTAACTGGGAGCTGCTTGCTCACCCCCTCCTCATGGGTGACGGCCAGAGGTTTCACATTGTAATGATTTGGGGGATGTGACCGGTAGCTGCTAACTACATCTACTACGCACCATTGCATGGGATGGCCTCCAAACACAGAACGACTCCAAGTGTACACAGTGCTAATACTGAAGAACCCTGATCTAGCCTCTTCCTGCCATCTCACACAGCCACAGCCTTAAGTTGGATGGCTTGGTTCCCTCACTGACCCAGGGGTGAGTCACCCCAACTGCCTTAGGGAATATGGGCACGGACGATAGAAAGTTTAAACCCTGGAAGCAGGCCGTGTGTGGCAAGTCCCAGTGCATGTAAGTATTTAAGCCTTCTGTGCCTTGGCTTCTCCCTAAAGAAATAAGATCAGTGTCCACATCATCAAATTTGCAAAGACCTGAAAACGAGCTTCCATGTGTGCTTTGGGCTTTCAGACAGATATGGCTTCCATATGTTCCCAAATGCCCTGGCGGTCTCTATTTGGTGCTGATGCCATTGCCTATCACATTAACTGTGACTAGTAGTTTTGACATTTTAGGACAAAGGGATATGTATGCCTTGGTCACCATTGTGTTTGCATAACATATTTTTTAGGCATCAATAAAAAGTAATAAAATATGAATGCATGAACATAAGGCCTTAAACAATATTGTGTACCAACTGTTTGATTTTGAAGGCAGCCTTATTGAGCTATAGGTGATGGCAATAAATAGGACAGATTTAAAATGTGCAGTGCATAGTTCAATGATTTGCAGCGGTCCACACCAGTGAAACCAAAGTCCAACCAGTGAAATTACTCAAGGTGATGGATGCATTCTTACAGCTCAAATGTTTCCTCGGGTTGTTTTGCAAACCATAAAGAGTTGGGGAAAACTGAGCACACACATCGGGAGGGTAAATTTGGACTTAAGCTTTGGCCTTCTCATCTGTGAAGGGGAGGGCATTTGTACAAGATGCTTGTGAAGTGGTCGTCTAAGTGAGCAGAGGCTGACTGAGCACGGTCTTCTAACCTGCCCTGCCCTGTCCCGGCTCCCCTGAGGCTTGTGCCCACATTCCCTCCACTCCTGCTGAAATGCTTTGCACCCTTCCAGGGGCCATGAGGCTAACTGTTGCCCTTCTCTATGCAATTTTCCTCTCTCTCTCTCTCCCTCTCCCTCTCCCTCTCCCTCTCCCTCTCTCTCTCTCTCTCTCTCTCTCTCTCTCTCTCTCTCTCTCTCTCTCTCTCTCTCTCTCTCTCTCTCTCTCTCTCTCAATTTCTGAAGGCTTTTGAGTCACATGCACAGCACTCAAGTTTTCTAACTGTTTGGTCCATTTCATTTCCACTCACTGTCATCTCCTTTTACACATAGATACGGAAACCAATGCAAAGACAAAGTCTACATCAGAGTCGTTGTTGCTGTTTTTCATCAGGCTCTGGAGATGGCTCAATTGTTAAAGTTCATTCCTCACAAGCACAGGGAGCTGGGTTAGGCTCCCTAGAATCCAAATAAAAATGCTGGGTGTGGTGAGCAAGCTGGTAATCCCAGTATTTGAGAGGCAGAGCCAGGAGGATGCCCGGGACTCACTGACTAGCCAGTATAGCCATGGTGAGCTCCAGACCAATATAGACCCAGCCTCGAAGATGGGTATCAATATTTGTGAAGACTATCCCCTGACCACTATACACATGTGCACACGCGTGTGATCACACCTGGACACACAGACACACACAACACATGCATTACAAAATAAATGTTTTTTTCCCCTCTAATTTCTTTCCTGGCTTAGCATGAATTCCAAAGAGGCCCTCCAATTGGCAGGTCTGTATGAGTTTTTATTGCAGGAAATTTTATTTTATTGTATTTTTGTAGTTCACTGTACATAGATTATTATAACCATGTCTATACAGAAAATACCAAAAAAGGGACTCTGCAGAGTGCTTTACTACATGTGTGTGACCGAGTGTTGTCCCTTTCATTTGATAGTCCATGCACAGAGAATCTGAATCAAGTTGTGATCACAGTATTGATGAAACTTGGCATTCTCTTTTCTTCCCTTAAATTTTACCACAGGCATCTTTTTCTTTTTGTGACACAGCCTTCATAATTGTCGTTTTTAGGGGCTGCATAACATACTCATGTGGTGTAGCAAAATCCCTGCACTGTTTGCCTTCTCTTGACAGTGGAGGCTGAATCTGATTGCTGCTGTTACAGACGGGCCTATTAGAAGTCACTCTCGACACACGCAGCAGCAGAGCTCGGCTCAGTAGCTTTGTGCCTTTGGCTTTGAGCTTGCTCCGGACCTATTTCCTGCGGATAGGATTTCTGGGCAGAGGCTCTATTCACAGTCACAGTTCCCTAGCCATTTCCCATACCCAGAGTTTCTACTTAACATGAGCTGTTGGAAGCCACCTCTAAAGGCAGGTGGTTATGAGATGGGTCCAAGACGCCCCTGCCTTCCACTTTGCTGATACTAGAAATCACTGATGCTGGCTCTGAGTGGGGCTAGGGGCAGGTGGGGTTGATGAGATGGAGCAGCTGTGTGGGAAGTGGGCCAGGCAGGAGCCCCCTGGCTATGAGTTTCCATTTGCTTTTTTCCCTTTCCTGTCGCCTCTCCAAACTCCTAAGTACAGAGTTTTTTCTGATTGGTTGTTGCTGGCCCTTCCTCTTTGACACAGATCCAATCCTGTCTCAGACCCCCAATGTAGGTAGATGAATGCAAAAGTATCAGTTAAGGAGGTTAAAGAAAAGATTATTGAAGGAACAACTATAGTTCATATTTCACAGCCTGAGAAACTCAAGTTAAAAGTAGGTGAACTGGGCAAATAGAAGTCTTTAAAATTACCTATAATGTTTGTACCTCTGAGAAATGGGGTGGACTTCTAATATTTAGCTTTAGATAAAAGTCCCCCTTTTATTTCCTATTGGAAATATTGGGACATCCTTACATTATATATAACGTGTGTGTGTGTATGTGTGTGTGTATGTGTGTGTGTGTGTGTGTGTGTGTGTGTGTGTGTGTGTGTGTGTGTGTGTGTAGAAGCCAGAGGTTGACACTGAATATCTTCTTCAATCACTCTACACCTTAAGTTTTAGACAGGGTCTTTCTATTGTAGCCATGGCTAGACTGGAACTCACTATGTACACCAGGCTAACCTTGAACTCACAGAACCAGTCCCTGCCTCCCAAGTTCTTAAAGGTGTGCACCACCATGTCTAACTTTATCTTAGCTTTTGAGACTGGGTCTCTCATTAAGCCTTGAGATATATTTGCCTAGACTGGCTGGCCATGAAGCCCCAGGGATTCTCATGTTTCTGCCTCCCTGGTGTTGGAATTGCATGTATGTGCTACTGTCCTGGCTCTTTTACTGGGTTTAGAGGATTGAATTCAGGACCTTACAATTGCATAGCAAGCACTTTAATGAATGGGCTCCAGCTTGACAAATTTTAAGAATTCGTCCATCAGAAAAACTTCCTTCCTAAAAAATGCCCCACTTAATAAAATCCCAGTCTTGTCCAAATTTCTGTTTGAACAGCCAGCTTTGTTCCTTTTTATCTTAATTTGTGACTTGGAAAAAAATGTTCCCTTATCATGGCTCTGGCTGGGTGACTAATTACATTTGGGCTTTATAATTTAGTGTTAGACTATGAAAAGAGAAAAATAACAGCTCTTGGCCACCACTGGTTCCTCCTGCAGTTCTTAGTTGAAAATGCTGAGACTGAGTTCACCCTGGGCAGCAGCCAAGTGAAACACACACACACACACACACACACACACACACACACACACGCACGCACGCACGCACGCATGCACGCACACACACACACACACACACCATCTATAGCTGTGCTAGCACCTGGCCTCTCCAGGCAATTCCTTGTGTGGACATACATGACCATGATCAATAGCTTCGGGATCACAGGTAAACTGTAATTAGATTTTGTAGTCAGAAATCCCTGAACTTATACCCTGTTGGAGTTTTATTGCTATTTTCCTGACCCTTGCACCTTTGAACTCACTTGCTCAGTATACAGACAGCTACCTCTATCTCTAAGACGTCTTCTTCCAGACTCTCTTCTTCCTACAGGTAATTATGGCTCATGCGCTACTCTTCAGAAAATCACCTTCTCTACAGTGAAAGAAAGCACAGGTTCACAAGACAGAGAGCTTAGTATGAACTGTGGCTCTGATGTTAACCATTCCATGAAGGCAGGGTCTGCCTGCTTGTATAACTAGGTGATAGTTTTCAGTCTGTTCTCAGTGAAGCATGACTAGGGACCCAAACAGTAGCATCAAATTTGGGCAGCATATATATAGTCTTCCCAGAACTGACCAATAAAAAGCTCCCATGCATGGTCTGTTACTATTTTCCCATCTTCTAGCTAGAACCAAAGGAAAAGAAGGCTTGGGATGATGATGGAAGAAAAATATAAAGAGCCTGGGTACCAGAATCCCTTTACTATGAGCTTTTTGTGAGAATAGACTTGCATGTGTCAAGACAGTGTGGTGGTAGTTAGCATAACATTAACATACTAATTTTGCAAGTTTTAGGACTGCCTTCTTCCCTGGGGAGGTTGAGAGTATTTGATGTGCTAACACACACATGAAGCATCAACCTTAGAGCTAGTACTGCGCCTCCAATATATGTTTATTATCGTCATTGTCAGTCATCTTTTAAAGATTTACTTTTATTTCAGGTGTATGAGTGTTTTTTTCTGAATGTATGATGTGTAACATGTGAGTGCAGCACCCAAAGAAGAAGGAAGAGTGCTTTGGATCCCTCAATTAGAGTTACAGACCGTTTGTGAGTTTCTAGGAGGTGATGGAAACTGAATGGCAGTCTTCTGCAAGAGCGGTAAACGATCCTAGTCACTCTCTTCCTAGCCCCACAGTTAGCCATCTTCTAAATGAACACTAATGATCTTCAAGCAAAGAGCAGGGGCCAGCCTGGTGAGCTGCAGAGCTGCCCCCTTACCTTTTTACTTCTTGCACATAGTCTGCATTTCTGTCAAAGAGGTGGGTCACAGAATCTTTGATGGCTTCATGCTTGAAAGTAGAAGCTGTTCCAAAGATGGTCACATTGGGGACAGTAGAACATAGCTGAGCCACAGCTTGACCCTGGAAACAACACACAGAAAACACGTAAACACCACCATTCTCAGAGAGATGGTGTATAACATGGGTCAAGAACATAGCACAAAATATGACACTTGCAGACACTTAAATCTTAACTAATAGCCAGTATTGCTGAGAGGAAGGCCGAGTTTTGCATCTTTGACATAGTTGGCATTTTTGAGTTTGAATTCATGTTTTTCAGATAAAACTGTAGGTATTTATCAGCATCCTTGGCCTCTACCGTCTTGAGGTAATGAACATCTCCAACTCCACAGTCAAACGTGTTCAGGCATTCCAGCATTGCCTCCTGAAGGACAAAACTTGCTTTGGCTGGCAACCACTTGTGTGTGGGTAAAACCAATAGGAGCCAGATAACCCCAGCACTAAACTTAACTACTATTTAACCATGCTGAGCTACATCTCAGCAGTAATGCTATCCACTCCACAGGGATCTTGGAGGATGTCTTATTTTGATGCTCAGAAACAAATTCGGAACAAACACTTGAATACAAATGTTTTGTTGTTTGTAAGATAATCTTAGATACTAACAGGACTACTACCCCAAAGGGGAGTGAGCATCCTTTAAAAAAATTCACCTTCAGAGAAGAAAAAAGAGAAGAAAAGAAAGAAAAGCGAAATGCTGGAGCATGCTTGTAACCTCAGTGCTGGGGAGTTGGAAACAGGAGGGTTCCTAGGTCTGGATGGACAGCCATCCGAGTTGTCCAGCTGAACATGTTTTAGACCAGTGAGAGACCCTTTCTCAAAAGAAATATGGCTGGCAAACTGGAACAACATATGAGGTTGTCCTCAGGAATCCCTGCAAAGGACACATGTACACATGCACCTACGTACCTACATACACATATAAGCATGAACATGCACACCCCTGACACACAGAAAGACCAAAAGAGAACCCAGATGATTTAGCTCAATGGTTCAGTTTATCAACGCGCGAGACTTCAGGGAACAACCCCCCCAAAAGAAAGAGCTGATTGCTCACATGTTATCAAATTAATATCTACCATGGACATCCAGAGCTCTGCCTCTCTGACACCTCCATGATCACGAGCCTGTCCAACTAATTTCCATCTAGTACTAGTGGAGGATTGCTTCTGTATGAGTATCTCTTGACAGTTCTGGTGTGTCCTCAGGAGTCAAGAGTGCTCTGTGGCTAGAATAACGCCCTCATCCAGCAAGCTTCAGCATGTTGCAAGGAGCAGGTATGCATGGCTGACTGACAGTGTCCCACAGAGAAAGGCTAAATGAAGTATTATACCAGACTGAGAACCTGGGACAAAATGTGATTCGGACTAGATACTCAATTAATCTTAATCATCTCTCCCCCTTGGGAGCTTATTATACCCAGGGCTAAAGATGTCCAGTCAAATAAAGAAAAGGTCAACATGTGATTTAAATGGTAAAATGGTCAAGGGGGGAATTACAAATGCAGTTAAGAGAGGGGTGATTTGTATCTTCTCTACCAATATGGTCAACACTTAAGACATCGAACAAAATTATGTGAGCATGTGCATTTCAAAACTTTCCAGTAAAACCTAATTTGCTGGTAATTAAGATGCATTAAAAGAAACTGTTACCACTCACGAGCATTCCATATACCATTTTAAGGAGGGAGATTTCCTACTGGTCATTGGTCACAGTCATTTCTGTTTATCATCTTATTTTCATGTCTTCCTGTTGGTGGATAATTCAAGGTGGCAGGTCAATTTATGGAAATGTTATCTTATCACCAATCCCAATTAAAAACAAGATGGAGAGATTCATTGAATGTCAGAGCTGGAAGATCACTCCATGTCTTCTCACCGTCTCATAGATGAGGTAAAGGACCACAGGAAGGTCCAGGCCTCTCAGCTTTTCAGAGACATAGCTGGGACTCAAACCCAGGCTTGCTGACTCCAGTTGCTTCTATTGTCTATTATTCTACTCTGTCAATTTATTTTGACATTTTAAGCTAAGCTATTTTAACTTGCTGCCTAAAATAGGCATGGCATATTCACTGGGGGGTCAACATTTCAGCGTATGTACATAAGCCTAAGACTACACTGGGCACAGCTCTCTATGCTAAGTATAGTTTTGGTATTTAATTAATGTTTTGTTCCAAATGAACATTAATATCATCAGCCAGTGCAACAACTCCTTTAAATTCACTGACCTCATATCAGCCTCAGTTACATCTTTGATGTAGTATGGCTTGAGCAGACCCTGGCAGTGATGGAAGAGGTCAGAATTAACTTTAACATCCTTGTAGCCCCTTATTCCTTCTGTCTTCAGGCAAATGTGACATTTATTCATTCAACTATTTCCCAAATCCCCATTGTTTAGTTCAATGATATTGACATTTGCCTCTATCTTGTGGATTCCTCCAAACAACATATCAAATTCATCTGACCCAAAACACAACTCATGACCACCATGAAAGTGGACTTCTCTTTAAATCAGTTTGTGAGGGATGCCACAACAGTGACAAGACACACTGGATAACTTCTACAATTAAAAACTTTTCTTGAAGTTTAGAACTGCTCCCCAATCTAGGCGTTCATTCCTCCTGTAGGTTATGAGGGAGATTTTTGCTCCAGGCCACTTTCTTTGGCCCGCAGATGGCTACCCACTGCCTCTGTCTCTTCACATTGTTTTCTCTCTCTGCCAGTTTCTTGTGTATCAATTTCCCCCTCCTTTGAGGATGCCCACTGTCTTGGATTAGGGACCTTCTGCAAGGATCTCCCACTAGTTTGATTGCTACTTCTGTAAAAATCCTGCTTTAATTTGAATTTAAGGATCTGCCAAAGGTGTGTGTGTGTGTGCTCGCGCGCATGCACGTGGTTAAGACTTATTTCCCAGTCTGCAGAATAGTTGAGGTAACACTTTGAATGTGGAGCTTACTGGGTGTTTTCATGTCATTGTCAGTGGTGGTGGCCTTTGAAGGGGACTCTGGACTTTAATCTTTCTCTTTTGCCTCATGGCTGATACGTTGTGAGTAGCTTTCCTGTACCATATGCTCCCACTGTGATGCTGTGGCAGAAACATTACAACATTCATTAGTGGACTGTGGCTGCACATGAGATCTGCTGTTGACGGAAATCAGCATACAGGTATGGCTCTAAATTCTATCACGTAACATGAGTATTATATAAGGAGTAATATATGCATATAATATATATTGTATGACAGTATAGAATTAGAATAATGTGTAATTATACATTGATATCAAGTACACGTATACAGTGTTATATACATAGACACATACACATATAATTAATACATAATATAGAACATTTAGGAGCTGGAGAGATGGTTCAGCAGCTAAGAGTGTGTACTGATTTCCTCTTCTTACCTCTTTGGGCACTCTCATACACATGCATAGATAGATAGACAGACTTTAGATCAATCTTAAAAACTTAAAAAGAACACTTAATTATCAATAGATAACTAGGATTCTTTTAATAATGTCTGTATACTGTGTAAGTATGATGTATAACAGTATAATATATATTATGTAAGTAACAATGGCTAGAAAACACATATTCAACTATTTATAGCCTTTTAGCATCTCACCTTCTCACTGAGATGATGAAAGACCCTATGAAATCTCAACTAATTTTTTAAGGTAAATACCATTCTGTGTTCTGTGTTTAAGCATTCTTTCTCACAGTTACAGGAAATCTGCTTTCTCTCACTCCCAGTGTAATGCAAAATCAGCAGCTCATTCTTTCTTCCCTTCTCCAGTCAGTCAAGGAACTGCAGGGACTTAAACATTTGTGGGAGATGGAATGACTTCTCAATAAAAAGGATTTTTGCAATCTACCTGCAGACCCATGGCATAAAATGAACAAAACAATCCATGCTCCTGACAGCAGCAGTAAATGGAGATATGCACATGCCTATTTTAATTGACTCTCCTTCCCTCTTAGGGACACAGTATCCTGCTTCAAGCTCTCCTGCCCTTCTTATGGCTAACAATGCATCAGTGATAGCAGCTGGGCTCCCTTTTGTCCATCCACCAGCCAGCCACAAAAGGCTTTGTTGAATCCTTAAATCACTCTAAAAATAATTTTTGTTTCCCATTTAAGTCTCAAAATGGATGTTCAGAGAGGGTCTGGAACTGGCCCAAAGCTTTGGGGCCTGTGAATGATAAAGCTGTGTGACCGGACTCTATAGTCACCCATGCTGCTGTTAGTTTTTCCATCTGTCCAGATGGTCATGCAGGCTGCTGACCCAGGACCTAACTTTTTAGCAGTTCAGTCTGTTGGCATCACAGTATGATGCTGTCTAACTATAACCCTAACCACAACCCTAACCCTAATCCCAACTTACACATGTGTTTGGCTGCATTCAGAGTTTTCCTCAGATGCATGCAGCCTGTGGGGCACCTATTAGACACACCTAGTTCAGAGTCTTGGAGATACTGTAGTTCTCAATCTCAAAGATTTTACTGGTTTGGTCTGGAGAGCTGGGTCTCAGGGTATAGGCATGAACAGGTTTTTAGTCTTTTATCACGAGGTTGCTGGGGTTTTCCACCATACCCAAAAACATAAAGAGCCAGAAATTTGGGGGCAACCATGAGGAAATGTTTCAGGTCCCCACACTTGAGTAACACAAATGCAACACAAGTAGAAAAGCCAGGTGTACTAAACAAATGGTTAGAAGAGCAGTAGGATTGGCCTCTGCATGGTCCATACTGAGTACGAATAAGCAACAATCTTTGGTTTTAGTTTTGGAGATGGGAAGAAGTCCATAGCAATTCTGGAAAGTCACTCGATGAGCACTGAAGACATGGTTTTAACAGAGAGCTGAGATTTGAGATCAGAATCAGAGACTTAAAAAAAAGGTAAGAGGATGGCTCACAAGGAACTCTATAGAGTGCAGGAGTCATCCACCTCCCCAGACTTGTTTCTCACTCTATGTTAGAAGTCTGGCTTTGCTCCCAGGGAAAAACACCTGCTTCTTCCAAAGGGTCACATTGTCTTCACCACAGGACCTTTGGACAT